GCACACACTTCACAAACAAATTTCATTATGGATATAGATGCACACACTTCACAAACTAATTTGACTATGGATATTTGGTTGATGAAACCAAGCATTTCACACACCTTTGCCAACAGAAAGACAAAGCACACAAAACAACAGAGATACCCTAACTGATACTTAACCGATATCCAGATTTATACATGATTACATGATGCCAGTACTTGCAACCATTACCAAAACATACTAACAGAAATCCTACACCGCCACATTTTCGAAACCAGAATCCAAGTAGTTACATAGATTTTTAGAATCCAAGTAGTTACAACCTTCACACTACTAAGCTGCAAGAGAGCTGGCCAGAATATTCACAAAACAACAGTCTATTTCAGTTCACTGATACATCAAAGATCAACAGGATGATTGGGAAGACAAACATGCATCAAAGAAGTCCCCCAAAAGTTCCATGAAGAAGCCATCCAACACAACACCCTTAGAACTTCCGATTTCCCAAACACCTCCAAAAGAGGATTTGACACCTTCAAAAGCTAACTTCAAAGTACCAGCAACAACTCCCTCGAGCTCCAAACGTGATCCTACAAAGTAATATAGACAAACAAAATTTTGTTCATGACAAACCAATCCTGGGATGGGATTGCACGATAACAGAACACTGGAATTTTGGATGCAATGTTGTAAGCACACCCAATACCTTATTTCTCGTACAGGAGACGCTTGGCCGAGGATTTCTTGACAGATGCATGTGGTGAAGCCATGTTCTCAAGCGAGAAGGCTGATGGACTCTGAGCAGGTCCGTCGGAGCTTCCACTTTCAGGTCCCCTAGATCCTGAAGATTCCAGTTTTTCAACCTTCACCTTTGCCAGCGGTGAAACCAACCTGGATCATTTGAAAGGAATCAGATTAATCAAAAATAAAAAAGGTCACATTCCAGCACAGTTGCAGAACAATATAGTAACCAAAACGGCTTACAGATTTGCCGACGGGGATGAAGAGGGTGTTGATGTAGATGATGTCTTGCTAATTTTAATCTGAGGAGTTCCAATCTCTTCCCTGACTGCACCCGATGAAGATAATGACTTACCAACCTTACTTTGAGGAGTCCCAAACTTCTTCCCAACTTCACCCGCTAAAGGCAGAGAGGGTTGCTCACACGAACTCATTGAATCAACAATACCACCCTGCGGCAAAGATGGCCTAATTTCAGGAATTTTTTCATCACCAACAAACCCTAGACGAACAGGGTCTGGTGAGCCTGCAGGAACTCCAAGGATTGGATTCTGAACTCCGAGAACAGCTGACACAGAAGGCTGTTTGGCAGGTACAGAAGAAGCTCTGATGGTAATGGGTTGTGATAAAGTTTCAGTTCCCAAAGGCACATGACCAGCCCCCCCCCCCCCAGCGACCAACAGACCTTGATACCGACTGTAAAATGAGACAAGATCCATCAGAAGTTTCCCAGGCAACGTGAAATAAAGACAACTTAGAAATTCAAGAAATAACCTGATAGGCTGGCCTGCTGCCTGCCCAATCTGGAAAGTTGGATTGCTGTTCTCAAACAACAGTGGTCCAGAAACCTTTGCCTTGCCCTTGGTCGAACTGCCAAACAACAAAAATAGCCAGTTCTGAACTCACAACCCAAACATCAACAGGAGGTAATCATCAGGATACCATCAAAACACTGAAAGGGAAATTTCAAACCTGGATGGAGTAGACACAGAACTGCTCACAGGCAATGATTCAGTTGGTCCAGTCAACATAAGCACTCCACACTGTTCAGTCGCGCCTTGCAAAGCAAGCTAACCCTGGGTTCCATCAGTAATTGTCTGCACTGGAGCAACAATAGTGGGTAGTAGACCCTGATTATCCTGAGGAAGCACTCGGAACACCCTGGACTCTCCAGTGGATACTCCATTCGCACTCATCATAGGAAGCTTGACTTCAAACCTCACAAACTAGCCTATCAAATTACTCAACTCAGGTGGCAGCTGGCCAGTTCTATGAGAATATCTCTGAGCAAGTACATGGGCAGACGTGAATACCAGATTATTACCAGCTGGCCCAAAAACAATAAAAGGCGCCTCTCCTGTCGAGTCACGCAAGACAAACTGAATCTTGTACCTATATAACACAAGGAACACACTCAGAAGTCTTTATCCTAAAGCAAACCAGGCAAAGAAACATACAACTTTTGCAAAAAAGGAAACACAGTGTATACCCAATAGTAACTTGCTGGTCAGAGATTTCCCAATGATCAGGACACCAATAGTTTACATTCCTCCATGTAGAACACTTTTTCCTACACATATTACAGGAAGTATAGTACCATGGACTTCGAGACTCAACAAATCTGACAATTCCACCACAACGATGCTTCTCATCCTATTAAATTTTAAAAATAAGATACATTGGTCAAACCAAGACCAGACAAATTTGCACATAATCTGAAGCAACAAACATGATAACAGAGTGAAACATGCATACCACCGAAGCACCAGCACGGTACAAATCATGGAGTTCAAGTATGGTCCTCGTGCGACGGCCAGCATCTGCAAGAGCAGCCTCATGTGTAGCAAACTGAATGGGAAGACCTGCAACAGGATTCCGTGCTCCAGCAAAGCTATAACAGGAAAAAAAACAGATTAGTAACAGAACAAAGAGCAACAAAACTTCAAAGGGCTGATCAACAAACTCACAAAGTAGTCAGACTGTAGGCCTCAGGAATGCGAGGGCTAACAACTATGCAGGTGGCAGAAGAGCTTGAACATGTGTACTCACCTTCTGCAAAACATGAACAAAAAGAGGGAACATAAAAAAAATCTCCCACACAATGTTTAACAACCAAAATGGCAAAAAGTACAAACATTACCAATCAAACGGCCAACCATGAGGCTCCCAACCGCAATAATCACAGGCTCAATGGAATCTGCCTGAATCAAAGCAACACTGTCCAGGATCGTGGTTAATTCATTCCAGAGTGTGATCGAAACTCTCTTGCCCCTAAAACAACAAAAAAATTAAGTTAAAAACAAACCGCGACCGAAAGGAAACCTCAAGGAGCAAGAAAAAAAAACATACTCATCATTTTCAAGGACCAAAACTTGTTTTGGAGTGGATCCATGATTGGTAAGTTGATGATCAACCCCACTGATAGAATGGAGGCGCCCAACAACATCTGATGCACAGGGCCAGAAGGAATGATAAACACAAAGAGTGAGAACAAACCAGATATAATACAACAAAATTGAAAGGAATAAAAGCAAACGCACACAGCACTTGAGAGGATGCGATTATCACCAGCACGCTTTGGGAGCTCACTGAATGGCACAGACTCAAAAGATTCGACAGGAAAATCGGCAGCAGGAAGAACACAAGCCTACAAACTTGTGGTCTTTGACAACTCCATGATAAGATCCAAAGAGCATGCACGATAAAGATTCCTTGCTGCGGCAATACCAAAAGCCCGAACTATGTAGATAGTCCCAACACGTAGAACTCCTTCGAAAGCATTTCCCAGAGAAACATCTGCAATGCTTTGTATGAGCATGCCCTGCATGCAAGCATCAGAGTCCAGGGACAGCGAGAAAATTGGTAAAAAGGTAAAAAAACGGTTAAAGAGTTAATCTTATAGTACCGTTTGGTCCACCCAGAGACAACAGTGATTGAATACCCTGGATCCATTAGGATTCTTCGCAAACCACATATGAAGCAGACGCAGACGAAGAATAACATCTCTGCTGGGACCCTTGAGATTGCACAACAACACCGCATCCATAATAATCCCAGGTACAGGGCAAGAACCCCGTCGAAGAACCGATGCAGAACAAAAGAAGCCCCTAAACAGCAGACGGATGAGAAGAGAAACAATCAGAACAGGAAAATGTAAGCGACAGAGAACCCATGAGGTGAGAGAAAACCGCTTAAATACTAAAGTGGAAAAACATAATGGGGAGAGGTTTTCCAAGTAGAGGGAGGCAAACAGTGACAGCCGCCCAAGCGCAGCCCATCCCTGCAATTGATGTGAAACACAATCGATAAGCACGCCCAGGTGAACATTTTTGCGTTCTCAAAGGCCCCTCTCAGCTCAAATTCCAACTTGTAATTGGAAAAAGTGACATGACCTCGATCAATCAACCGAGTAAATCTTCTGAACACTTTCATCATGAGCGAAGACATCAGGTTTCAGAAGGCACAGCCCCTAAAAGAACATGGCCTTGCCCCAAGCCACATGCAAAACCACTGAGCAACAAAGCCTTCCAGACCCCCACCCACCCATGGCCCACCATCTCCGAGCCTCCCACCCACAAATCCGTCGATCACCTGCAAAGCCCGGCTGAAATCCATCCAATCAAGCAACTGGGCAGGCTCTAGCCACCGAGAGGGCCCTGGTGACCAACGCGTTCGTGGACCACAACCGATCCAGCAGACCAAAACAGCCCAACGACCAAGTTCCATCCCAACCGACCCGCCAAACACCCGTCCGATTCCAATGAGCCCCCACCCAACGCCAGCCCACACAGCGCCAGCTTCCGGGTTATAACAGTACATCTCGGTCAGCATGAGCAGTAAAAGAAGTCTGCATGTGCAGTACCAGGTCCTGCGGTGGGATTTCTTCTTTCAATGTATCTTTTCCTTTGGGTCTAGCTCATTGCATTCTTAATGATCTCACTCATTTAAAGAATAAAAAAAGCATACTAACATTGGATCAGTCTCAGTCCGAAACGGAGTCGGAGAAGGCAACACAAACCGAAACAACCTCAAAGTATCAAACAGTTCCTAACACACACAAAATCGATCAGTTTTTCTTATATAAATCGTCCATTACCGAATCCTCCCACCATCTGCGCCATCATCTTCCTTCCCTTCATCCGTCTGTTGCTCTGCCGATCGACAACTGCATCCATTCGGCTCCGAATCTCCACTAAGCTAAGCTCACGTTTTATCCCCTGCCCCTCGAGAAACAGAGTTCAGAAGCAAACCCTGCTCTTCCAGCTCCTCCTCCAATGATCAGCAAACTGAGAGACGATCTCCTCGTCGAAGTTCTCATTCGAGTCCCGGAACCTAGCTCCCGCTGCCGCTGCAAACTCGTATGCAAGCAATGGAACTCTCTGCTCTCCGACCCCTACTTCGTACCCCGTTTCGATCATCACAGAAACCACATCGAAACGCCTCTGCTGCCCTCGGACACTTTCTTGAGCTTCCTCCCCGTCCCGGATGAACTTCGAAAGGATTTCCGGATCTTCGACGCCTTCAAGGACTTGCTTTTATGCGGGTTTGCAGAATTACTCGCCAGCCCGAATTGCGAAGCTGACAGATCCTACTTGCTCTGCAATCCGTCTACGAAGCAATGGATGGCCCTTCCTTTAGCCCCCGAAATGCCACCGAGATACTTCTTCATCACCCTTGCAAGGTTAGTTTGTGAACCCCGCGGTTGCAGTCAAGGCGGACAATCACTTGTTCGGCATCGATTTCGCGTGGTGTGCATGCATCAGTCGACGACGAGGTTTGTAAGGGTAGACGTGTTTTGTTCCGAGTCCGGGAAATGGATCAAGGATGCTCTTAATTTCAGTGGTTATGGCGACATCTATTCGAAAACCGTGATCTCGTGCAACGGGGAGTTGTTTTGGACCTATTTTGGAAACAAATTTGAAGATGCTGCCGGGTCGATTCCTTTGCTGGCTGCTGTTAATCCTTTCCGGCTTGATATACCTCCAACACATATTGATGCTAGTACGGCATCATTCTCTCAGAAAACCTTGTGGAATTTCGGGGTCTCGCAAGATGCTTTGCACCTAGTTGTATTTGAACTGAAACGTAGCTCATGTGGTGGCCCGAGCCTCTTGAGTGTTTGGAGACTGGAAGAAGATCGTAAATCTTGGAGTAGACGATACGAAACCAAGGTAGACTTGTCCAGGTTTAAGCACAAGCCGAAGCATGAGGTCGAAGTAATCGATCTGCATCCAGGGAAGCCGGAAATTGTCTTCCTGCGGTTCATTGATTATAGTCAAGCCAGCGAGTCTGCTATTTGGTCCTGCAATTTGAGGAGCGGAGAGTCTGAGATCTTCTGTAAAATAAGTAAAGCTTCCCCACGTTGGAGGGTGTTCGAGCAGCGGCTCTCTTGCTGGCCTATTCCAATTCCAAGGTACGAGGAATTGCGAGGTGTGTATGATGGAAGTTACAGCTCGTTTGTTCAGAACAACACCAGCACCAGCAACAATGAAAAGCCCACAACTGCCTTGAGACCTCAAGCGTCCTGTTAAGAAGCACAAGATAGTGAAAGGGTTGTGTTCTAAGGTTATTCATGCACTGCAGAAGATAGCAGACACAGATATTGATGCTTGTAATCTGCAAGAATGTACTGTACTAGTATGTAATAGTATTTGGTTGATATTGATGCCTAATTCATTCATCAAAATAATTGCATCATCCTTCCTTGAAAAGCCAAGCCAACCCAACCCAACCCATCGCGTACTTTTATGGGAACCAAGAGTGGAGAGGAGATTGAGAGGACCTCAGTCGGTTCGACCCTTCTCTGTTCAAGCTTTGCCTTAGTTGCCCTTTTTTATTCTTTGAACAAACCATTCAATGATTAATAACCAAGCCCTCCATATCTAAAACAAAGCAGTGAATATCTAGTGATCAGGCTCATGGTGTGGAGAGCTGTTGCTGTTGTTGGTTGCTGCATAAGTTAGCAGCTGACATGGTAAATGGTCTTTGACAAGAGAAAATGACATCCTAGCGAACAAAGCATAGCATGCATGAAGAAGAATTGTAGATGTTAGTATTATAAGTTTATTACAGCACTTTTCATCACAGGAACAGGCGGCACAACATTCGCGAACCGCTACTAATGATGAATGTAGAAGTAGTGAAGAAGATTATGATTAATGAAGTGTGCATTGTTCTAATTAGAGAAGCCATGACTTATTTCTCTCTTTATTTGAGTTAATTAAGAAGATGAAATGGTTTATTGAAGGAATGGAGATGAGATTTGTCATAATGTGTTTGTATCATTCATCCACATATTTTGTCCCTGTCAGCATCCTCGAATTTTCTCAAGTGTCAACAAACATTGATTATATTCAAATTACCTCAGTTTCGATAACAATCTCTATTGATCAAGTAGCCATTCTCTTGAATACTGCATAGTCGCATTGCAGAACTGCTAAGAAAGTAACTAGTAAAAGGGCAGAATAGGACACTCAGTCTCATTGCAGTTTTGATTGCTCAATCTGCAGCAGAAAATTACTGAACATTCACTCATAACTTTCTCAGGGACTTGCATCCCATGGACACAAATTCAACATGAATATTTAAAACCCGAAATTCGCCTTATAATTTCACAAAAAAACTTCTACCCCAAGCCTCATCCTTCTATCTTCGCTCTGTATACAACACAACCATTGAAGTAAAGTTGTTGGTTCCGAGGAAGAATATCTTACAAGTTTTTTCTTCAGCATGAAGACAGAAAAGTAATACAGCGCCTTATCCTTAAGTCCCATCCTCAATCTTATTCTGTACTTGACGACACATGCAAAGCAAGCAGTGAGCCCTCTATGCAGGAAGAATCAACTTCCGGACAAGACAGCATTAGCAGGATGTTTCGTGACAGTAGCCAAAATATCGGCGTAACCAACCACCCCAACCAAAACATCCTCCGTATCATCTTCAGTCACCCACACATGAGTCACCCTGTGGGACAACATCTGAGCCATAACTGCTGCTAAAGAACTCTTCACTTTGCAGGTCAGAGGGGCACTTCTTCCCCTATACATGCTCCTACCAGCTCCAAAGCTCGTGTTTGCAGCATTAAACCCAACGCTCCTACTACTGAACTTCCTAGCCCTCATCGATCCCCCACCACCATTACTACTCAAATCAACCGAGAAATCAGGTAAAGACGATCTTGGAGTATGATGGTTATCTTCCACCCCCATTACAAACTGTCCAGCAGAGAGATTCGCTAGAGCCCACGCTGCTCCCAAGTAATCACACTTCCACAACCTGGAAGCCGATATCTCGCCAATTATCTTATGCCGTCCATCCGATGACCCGGGCTCCACGACAGCTACTGCGCTGGGGTCGTCAGGGGACATTTGGGTTGCTTCAATGGCTGGAAGGGAGGAGTCAACAACACTATAGTTTGGGTTGATGGCTCCCAATGAGGAGATGGAGGAGAGAGGGATTGGAGCTAGAGCACCGAGGCAGCCGATGAGGAAGCGGATGACATCTTCTCTTGATAGGCAGCAGAATTTGTCGGTGGGAATAGTTGGCTGGGAGGAAGATGAAGGGAGGTTTGATGCATTCATGGTCAGTGTATTTGTACTGCTGTTTGGTGTTTCAAGGCTCTTCAGCCATCTTCCGTTGTAGAACATCGAGAATCTCTTGCTTACGCGCTTCCAACCTTTGGTCTTTGGGACAAGAAGTCGTCTCACTCCTTGCTTCATCATTTCTAATGCGTCAATCAGCCTACCACAAACAAGAGGGGGGGAAACATGTCAATCTTTGCCAGTTTTAGTGAGCGATAATCTACAACATCTACATGTAGAACCCTTCACGCGTTATCTTTGCTGTATTCATTGATCCTTATTGTCCAATTTTAAGGCACAACCTCATGCAGCAAGAAAACCAGTTTTGTGTCATCTTTAACTGCCCTAATATCACCTTTCACATACAGCTATAAAACCGAAAAAATGCATAAATAGACCCTTCTTTTGGTATACTTCTAAAAGCAAATAAGAATCATTCTCTACACCAAAAAAATCCGTGCATTGACTAGAACTAAGATTAAGTTGCCTTAAAAGGTTATCTTCCCTGGGAAAACATATATGATCTCCTACTTTACTCATTACCACGCATATTGTGATGGTTATGTCCACTACCAGCAACGTTGTTGCCTCCCTTACCATCACATTTCTAATCTTCAACCACAACAGCCCAAAACAAGAACTAATTGAATCCAGAATCTTATTGACTCAATTCATCAACCAATTTGCGACAATCGAAACCCATAACAAGATCATACCACTGACAGAAGTGCAATCCCAAAATCACCATCAAAGTACTTGCCTAATTGTCTTTTAAACAAATCACCAAAACCCTAGTTCTTTTCGTTTTGGATATCTTATTATCAAGAACTTCTAAAATAAAAAATGTGTCCAATTAGTGGAGAAACTGACTAGCCTGTTTGACTACATACAAACCAATTATCCAGGTATTTCACAATATTTGCTCTGGTCTGGGTCGAATAGCTGAATATAAATATCAATTATACATAGTCAAATCTAACGCAGAGGTCTGTTTCTCAGTTCAACCGAAGAAAAATTTGGGTAGGACAGAGATCCAACAGAAAGAAGCAATTCCTAGAAACAAATAGAACATAAGAGCGAAGAGCTAACCTTGTTGCAGGATCGACCTGTTTCAGTAAAGAATTATTCTGAACAACCACCTCTGAAACCGGTGTCTTCATGGCCCTGTCCTGATCATCTAGGCATTCTTGTCTAGCCAGGAAAGCGACAATATCGAGAGAATTAAGAATACCCACAAACCTTTGCTGCCTGATCTCACTGGTTTCAATTAAACTCAGTCTCCTCTTCCACACTGGAATCCCACACTCAGTGGAATCTCCAATCGCCCTTATGGCTGTCTCGATAGTCTCTGTCTCACAGAGTTCGACCAGCTCTGGTTTCCCCACAGTTAGATCTCCCACTACGTGATACAGAAAAACTGAGGCCATCCAAACTGTGAACAGAAAGTTGTTCAGGGTAGTCAGGACAAATAACAAAAATAGGTCGCTCACTAATTACTCATATTCTCCAGCTTTCTACTTTAGGGGGAAAAATTGAATATAAAGCATTCAAGATAATCCAGCAGATACATCAGCAACCATTCAAGGAATAACAGCTGGTTGGATTTCATCCATCAGCAGCCATTCAAGGAAGAAGATTTTGGAGATTATGGTTGACTACATTCCAAACTAAGCAAGAGAGCAAACAATGCAATTATATTCATCAAACATTTCCACTAGTCCTTGGATAGATCATCCTTCAAAGGGACAGCGATGGAAGAGATGTTCACTTGTTCAGCAATTTATTTTCAATGCTGTGTTAGAATTTAGCCAATATTGCGGCTGAGTGATAGCTGAAATCAGTCAAACAATATTGAGGGCTTCTAGTTGGATCTGAAATTGAAGCCTTGAATATGAAATTGAAGCACACAGTAGTTCAAAGTACATAAAGAAAGCATTATTCCAAAATAGGATTGTAACAAAGGAAGTGGATGAAACAAACAAAATGGAGCTTTGGTTGGTGTCACCCTGGGAAGGAAGAGATAAAACAAAGAATTCAAGCAGGAAATGCTGGACATAAACAATAAACGACACTAGTCGAACTATGATATCACTATTTCTTAAAGAAATATTCATATGATTGTTACATCTAATATTATTAGTGCAGTAAACAACATTGAAGCTGGAAACGCTGATCTGAAACAAAAACTTGAAAATACAAGTATCAGACAAAGATAGATATAGATATAAGTACGATTAGCGAGCGCATTATTCCTTGCCTAAAATATCAACCAATCTTATGCCACCTTAGTTGTTGGAAACACAACCCAAATCCCATACCAAGGAATAATGCTAAACGGAGACCGAAGAAAATTTGAACATTATCCATCTCATATGAACAATGAACCTATAGATTTCAAGGCTCCATTTCTGATCAGGCACAGGAATACTCGAATTTACACGGATGGTGAGCTAAGCATGGAAAATGGTTGAATGGGGGAAAGTATGCGACCTGAACATATTGTTAAATTAGCCACACCTCTGTAATTCATATATCTACACAGACCATAGATAATCAAGCACGCTATATTACTAAGGGATCTTCCCTCCAAGGCGTAAAGTTGGCTAGTTTTTTTTTTTTATCTTTCAAGTAGTTTTTTATCCAAAATGTCGTTAAACTATCTACAGTTGCTAACTCGTGTCATTCCACTGATAATATGGTGAAATCGACAGCAACCTGCCTGCTGGCTTGCAGAGTCACAGAGTTTATGAAGTCTGCGAACATGGATGCAAAACTATGCCTTGGCAATGCCTGGGGAGTTCGGTTTAGACATCTATCTTCATACAATGTGTCTTAAAAGGGAATCGATTTGGTTATGTCTTGCAGTAGGGGATTGCCTGGCTAATTCAAAGCAACCCATTTTCCTGTGGCTACTCCCTTACATACTACTTGCTCCCCTATCTGCTGGCGTTATGTAATTGTCCATATCCTATTTGTTCTTGTATTAAAATTTTAAACTCTATTAACTAATAATACTGAGTCGCCATTATAAAAAACCAAAATAGAGAAGTCTACAGCACAAAACCGTGGCTCCAACCCATGATACACAGTGCTTGCCTATTGACTATTGCCAAAGCCAAGTGTGAAGTTGCAGAACTTTCTCAAATCAACTCCAATGTTAAAGAAGAAACAGAAAGGCAGAGGAATTACCAAAGGCTGGAAGGAATCACGGAGCTTGCTGATCTGTTGCAGCTTAAAGTCCCCAAGACTACGGCCGATTGTCAACTGTCAATCTGCACGATTTTGAAAGAAAAAAACCCATCAATTAAGGAATTACCAACCAAACAGAAGTGTAAGAGCTTCAGCGGAAAGGACCTCAATCGAACCAGACAACAGTTGTGGTCGATCTGAACAGGCGGAGACGGTGCTGCAATGGAAAGCGGAGGAGGCAGAGGGGGAAGAGGGAATCGGCGAAGTGGGGAAGGAATAGCGAGTAGCTGAGAGAAGGGGACAAAGAAGAAGAGAGACGAAGCTGCAAGGTTAGCGGGTCCAAGATGCGGCGAGCGAGGACCAAGAAATATCAATGGGGACAAAGAAGAACAATAATGGAGTAGCCAGAATTCCAGATTGAAACTGACAGCTATTTATATACTCCTCCTCCACCCACACACACACCACACCCACACTACTACTGTTCTCACTTCTCACTGCTAGGTGATAGGAGTGGCTATTTAGTTCGGGTTTTTTGTTTCACCCGAAATCGGACCGTATAATTTGGTTTAGTGATAGTTAAATTTCAGTTGATTGCTGATTCATTACCTATAATGCACATGGCATTAAACGACGCACGTCAAAGGTCAAACATTGTGCGTCTCATCCAAGAGAGAATTTATGAGATAAGAAGAGATAAAGAATGGTATATGTAGGGTTATGTATGGTTTGTTTACTTGTCATTCATTTGTTAATTGTCACAATAGAAAACAAAATTAAAATGAAAACGAAGCTGTCATTTCCTGGAAAACAAAACCTGATAAACCTTGTTTAGCTGAGAATTTGGATAAGTTCTGAAACTGAATTCTAAAAATGAAAACTTGTTTAGTTGCTTCATACTGTTTTCTGATAATTAATTACTACGATTTTGTTCATTGAGTATCATACAACCCTAATCATGATACAATAAACAAAATTCATCTGCCACTTTGCACCCCACACATTTACAACTCGTTGAAATAAATCAGGAAAACAATAGAAATTACAAGAAAGAAGGGAGTTCATGGAGAGGGATGAGAAAGAGAAGTAAGATCAAATAACAAACAAGTAGTCATTTGGGTTGCTGTAAATTCCATGGTGAGAGGCGGCTGATTTCTAACAGATGCAACAAATGCAACAACTGCAGAATCTCAATTCTCAAATTACCCATCGAAAACACAGTCAAAATCAACACACAAAAAACACGATCTTGATTAAAATAAGGGTTGGGTAACAGTTGCTCACAAACAGTTTCACCTTGTAAAGTGCTCGACTCGCCGGCTGGAACTTCGTCGGGTGGAACTCAATTCGGCCGCTCGTGGTCTGAGAGAGAGGGAGATGATGAAAGTTGAAACTCGTGGTCTAGGGTTACAATGACAAGGAGCGGAGCAAAACCCAAAAAGTTGGGGCAGAGAGGTTTCGAACGATGAACTCATTAATGATCAGTGCCGATTTTCCGCTGAGCAACGAGGATAATCCGTCCCATTATTTTCAGGAAACAAGAATGTATTGTTTTCCCCCAGCTACTTGATTTGTAGCAAATGGATTTCTTCAACGAAAACAAAATTGTAAGTGAACACGTTTTTTGTCAGTTGTTTGTTCATTTTAATTTTCACGACAGAAAACAAAAAACAAAATGGGAAGTGAACAGGGCATTAGGTTGTTAAGCACCAACATGCACAATCCTTAGATTGCTAAGCCCAAGCGTGCACAAACCTTAGGTTGCTAAGCACAAACATGCACAATCACCATGAAAACACCTCTAATACTCAAATTGATGCAAACCCACACTTAATCATTCAATCTAAACAAGTAATTACAAAGTATTAGTTAGGATCTACAACACCCAAGAGAAAAGAGTGAGTTTCTAGAGAGAGAGAGAGAGAGAGAGAGGGATTACAAATTCGAGCTCAAGATCTTCTTCTTCTTCTAGGCTTGAATCTCCACCCAAGCCTCCAATGATGCTCCAAGATCACTCTAACACTCTCTCTCTCTCTCTCACTAGAACTCCCCTATGGTATTTTTGGGAAAACCCTAGAGAAAGAAACCAATTCTTCTCCAAAAACCAGCTCTCTATTCTGTCTCCCCGCTGTTGTCTTCAGATTTGCCCGAAAGTGATCTGTTCACGGACGCGTTGGCCAGTTCACGGTCGTGAACACCTAAACGCGTCTGTAAACTCAGTTGTCTCCAAAATGCATCGCTTCGCTCCTGGGGTTCACGGTCTTAGAAACCGTTAACTGCCTTGTCGTTAGTAACTTCTGGAACCTCGCTGGAAGCCTTGGTGTTCGCGATTTATGGTCCAAGTTCACGGTTTTAGGAGACCGTGAAATCCCTTGTCCGTCCGTGAACTACGGCTGCTTCCTGGACACCTGCACTTCACTATTACGAGGCAATTGTCACGGTCCTTCGGACTTTTCTTCGGTTTTTGCGCTTTTTAACCTCCAATTATCCCAAAATTCGACCTCGACCCTTCCACGCGTGCTAGGACCTGAAATGTATCAAAACAAGCACAACCTAGCGTGAAAGCTAAACGAATAAGAAATGAGGGGTAAAATGTGTACATTTGGGCCCGAATCAACGATTGTACCACATTTCTTTCAAGTATTTGTTTCATTTCAGAGAAACATTTTATCGAGAATGCACCTTGCTAGGCTCTGGCAAAGTGAATCCTTTAAGGGGTTCAGGCTAGCGTACACCTGGTGTACGGTGTACTCCTACGTTCACACCTATTAATTAATTATTAATTATTTTTAATTTAATTATAATTAAGGTAATTATTAATAATAAAAACAATTGCAATTATATCCCTTCATTAATGGTTGTTCACGGTTTAGTCCCATATAAATTTTATCTTACATCCTCCTCATATCAATCCCTTAACTAACAATCATATATATTATAGTACCTTTTTCCAAATTATAAACTTAAAACACCCAAACTTTATAATTATATACAACTTCAGCTCCTGCCATTACAACTCATCATCTTGTCGTTTTGTCCTCAATTATCTATTCCACTTCGTCTTCTTCATCATAAGTGAGAGACTCCTTCTCGATCCTCCTTTCTCCTTCTCGATCCTTCTTTCCCTTGTCTCTCCCCCAATTCATCGACTCCACCACTGAACAAACACCACTGAACAAACACACCCCTTCTTTCCCTTGTCTCTCCCCCAATTCATCGACTCCACCCCAATCCTCCTCTGTAATTTTTAGGGTTTCTCTTCTCTCCAGTTTGAATCTCATCTGCAGCGTTCGATTGATCGATTGAGGCGGATGAACCGCAGTTCTCATTTTGTTACCTTATCTCCCCCAAATCAGATCGATCTAAACCCTAAGAAAAGCCCCCTTTCTTGTTTTGCCTCTTGCATGGAGCATTAGACTACGCCCCTTTCTTAACTCCTCTGCTAATCTCCATCTCCCAGCCGATCAGAGCTCCATTCCATGAAAGTCACAGTCTCACCGACACCAAGGAAGGCCCCTTTGTCCATAGTTCATGCGGCCAGGCGGAGAAGCTCAACGGTGTTGGCGGACTTGCTGAGTTGCTGTAGAGGACGATGAGAGGAGCCGATGTCTCTGTGGAGGATGTCGACGAGGTTGAGTAAGGAGGCCCAGATCCCATTTCGACGGCGAATAAGAAGATGGTGACGGCGGAGAAGAATGGATACTGCGGCGGCGGGGACGAGGCACACATGCGTGAAGCTCGAGAATTACACCCCTGCGAGCGAACCAGTCTTCGTCAAGGGAACGTGGTTCGAGGGTCGCTTCGACCTCTCCATCACCGAAGGCCTCCACTCTTGGGTCTGCCACGGTAAACCTATATCTCCCCTTACTTTTCTTGTTCGACTGATATCGACTGTCGTGTTTGAATCTCTCCGTTTCTACGGGGTTTCTTTTATCATCCTAACTCTTGCTTCAAATTTTGCAGCTAGGGAAGAGGATGCGAGAGATAGAGCGGCGCAGTGGGTCAGCCAGTATCCGAGTATATCCAATTGGCGGAGAAGCACCTGGGGTTTCAAATCCCTGGCTCGAGCTAGAGGTTCGACGATGCCGGCGATGGCTGCAAACGAGTTAGTGATTCGCTTTTTCTATAATTTTTGTCCCGTTTGGAACTGTGTTCAATTTGGTTTGCTTTTGGATTCGATTTACCCCTTATGTGAATCAAACTTCACTATAAGTTAGGAAGATTGAAGGGATTGTATGAAGGGTTTGTTGTCGTGTGAATTTCTCCGATTTCCCGTCATTTTAATTCACAGTATCTTGTTTTTCTCATTTTTCAAGGCTTAACTCAGAAGATCTTTGCTGGGGGCTTCTTGAAGAAGACGCTGTTAAATTTTGCGTACTCCCAGTAAGTGTTGTTTACTTGTTTTGGTATTCTGGTCTTTCATCTCCAGCTTCCATTTTACATTTAAGCATTGGCATGTCCTTGTGAGCTCAACTTGAACAAAAAAACGGGATATTTCATAATTCTTGCTTGCGATTCTGGTTCCTGTTTCTTGACTAACTGGTGATCTCACTATCGCTTCAGCAAACTGAGTAATTTGAAAGGCGGGAGTAAGACAGACGAGGCATCTCCACTCAGTGACAAGCTCGTCTTCAGCAAGGTAATCATGATGCTTGGTCTTAACTCTTAAGTCAGTCTAATTATGTTGTCAAATTGCGAAATACTGTTATGGGGTTTAACTCTGGTGGCTCTTCCTCACAGGTAAAGCAAGGGTTGGGAGGAAATGTAAGTTGCTGAATGTTACGACGTTTTCTGCTTAACCTACGATCTCAAGGCTGTAAGTTGCTCTGTTTCCTCCTATAGCAAACTGTGGTCGTTATGCTTTTTCCTTCAGAAGAAGCTTTGTTCTCCGTGATCCGGCATTTTTGTTTGCTTAAGTTTAGTTTTCATCTTGGTTTTACTGAGTGCGTACTAGGTGTTTGATGATAGTTCTGTTAGAGAAAATTGATGTTTGAGGACAATCAATCATCCTCTACTTCTGAGACTCAGACTGAGTGTCCAAGTTTGGGACTGCTGTAACAAAATGGGGACATTCTGTTTATGCGTTTCCGTTTCTTTTAAGCCTTCCCCCCTGTTGTTCGTTGATCAACTTGGATTATGTCTTCATGGCTGCTGAAACTGATTTTGGCTTAAAAGAAGCATAGGGAAGCATACAGAATGGTAGTAGTGATTGACCAACTTTCTCCCATTAGAGTTGAGGCACTCACTTGACTTGAGTTTAGTCGGCAACACTTGGCTGCTTGTTGCTCTTAGGTCGTGGTTGTTTTATTCTCGCGATTCGTCTCTTGCTGATTTTGCTTGTTAGATATAGCTGCTTAACTTGTATGTTATCCCTGCAGGGATGGAAATGGCTCAACTTATATGTGGAATGTGGAGGTTGCAGAACTTTGCTTGTCAGATGCTCTTGTTGTCATACTGTGAACCTGGCACCAGGTAAAAATTGATTACCTGATTAGATGCCAGTTTATAAGTTCTGATACAGTCAGAGATCTCTTTATTCAAGATTCTACAAAATATAGAATAAGAGGATTACATTTCTTCCATAAAGATGTTGGCAATTCATTCATGAGCATTCGAGTTGCTTACCAGCAAAATTACGAACTTGGCATAGATGTATTTGGACTGATGGCTCCCATTTGAAAAATAACAGTTCATTCTGGATCACTGATCTCATAGAAGAGCCGTGTGTCAGCTTATTGCTCCTTACCGTTTGTGATTGACCCTATGTGCATTTCTGTTATGAGCTTAGGTCCAGTAGTTTAGTGTCCAGGCTATTTCTGTTATGAGCTTAGGGCCAGTCAGCATGAAATGCCACATCAGCTTTGTGTTTTTATTAAAAGGAGATAATGCTAAATCTTGATTCCTTTAACTGCTTCCTGTTCCATAACTCATGAAAGTGTTGAAGATTTGTTCTTCTCAAGCTTTTACGAGACATGTAAAAAGACATTGAGTTCTGATTTCAAAACAGTAACGCTTGGCTTCCTCTATGATTTCAAAACCTCTAGTTAGTTTATTATTTCTTGCCTCAGTTTGCTGCTAATTACTGGTCGTACTCTTTAAAAAGTAAGATAGCTATTTGTATGTATAATCGTGAATGGAAACTGGTTTCTTAGTTGCATATAGAAAGATTAATCTGTATAAGGAAACTGGTTTTTTTAATTGCATAATAATATTAAAGCTTCTTTATTAGACTAATTGGTATATGGAAACTGGTTTATTAGTTGCTGAATAATAAGAAAGCCTATTATTACTTATTAGGCTAAGCTCTCGATTTGGTTAATAGAACCGACGGTGTCTTTAAAAGGTCAATACCCTACTGTTTTGTCTTCTATATAATTGTCTATTGTGCTCCCTTTTATTTGTCGTTCTTTGGTGCTTACTTTCTGCATTCTCCCTCTTAGGTAGTATGCTGTTTCTTTTTGGAATTTCTTGTTGTTTGTTGTGATTCTCATCTTCATTATGTCCTATCACTATGTATGCAGCAGCTGCTTTCATTCGGATTTTTTCTTGCGGAAGTGAAGATCATGGATCCAACTGGGTAATATGCATCATCTCTTTTTTTATTGTAAGTTTTTCGTCTTGTATTACTTGTAACAGTTTTTTCTTTGGCCATTTACATTAGGGATAAGGGCTATCAAAACTTCTTGATGGATGCTGCTGCGAATACAATAGGACCCAAGAGATCTTTTTCAAAGGTTGGGGTTGGTGGTCACATTTTTTTTTTATTTGTAATTATTATATGTAAAGCTGTAGAGATTTTCCCCCTTGCATATATTTCTTCGTTTGGGCTCTGTTGGGCTGTAATTTGGGCTGTAATTTATTATGGGCTCGCTTGGCTCTAATTTATTTTAGGGTCGTTTGTACTCTAAGGCCCGTTTGCACTTTGTTCTTTTTTTGGTGAAAACTTTTGGGTTTTGTCTTGACTTTGCAGCAAGAATACAGATTGCAATGAGTTCCTATATACAATTAATCACATTTTCTTTAGGGTTAATACCTTGTTATGGCCTGAACTATGACCATGTAATCAACTTTGGCCAGTGGTTTGAGAAATTAACATCCTGGCCCGAACTATGCAGCATATAGACAAAATTGGCCTGGAGCGTGGTTTGACCGTCTATTTGGACGGTCAACACCGTTGACCGTTAGTCAATTGTCCATATCATTGCCATGTCACGCCTTGTCAGCCTATTAATCATTAAGAAATCAGAATTCAAACTTTTGACCTAAACTTATTGTTTACAATTTAAACAAAAAATAATAAAAAATAATATTTGAAATTTTTCCTTATCCTCTCTCTCTCCTCACTCGGACCACACAACCCTCATCCCTTTCCCAATCGTTCTTCCCCCGACGGTCACCGGATCCGGTTTGCAATCTTGAGTTCGCCCGGCGAGCACTTCCAAGAGCGTCGTCATCGGTGTACCCACGCCGGTCGACTTGGGAGCTGGTCCTCGCAATTCAGATACCTCACCACTTGTCTCATCGTGGGTCTCGACTCCTGCCTTTGGTGCGAGCAAATGAGCCCCAACCCTAGAACCATCTCCATTTCCTCTGCCACATACCGCCGCTCCAGCCGTGCATCAGCCGCGTCCAGAACACTCCCCCCCCCCATTTGCAGGCACTCAGTCACCCAGTCCACCAGTATAAAGTCGCCGTCGCCAATCGGCCTCGCCCACTCGCCGTTTCCAGCAGTAGAACCCCAAACGCGAACACGTCGGACCGGGCCGACGCCTTCCCTGTTCGGGCCGATTCGGGTGCGATGTACCCGACCGTCCCGACGACATTGGTCGTGTGCGACGCCGCCATTCCGTGGCTGTACAGCCTGGCTAGCCCGAAGTCCCCGAGGCGGCCGTTCATCTCGCCGTCGATCAACACATTGCTGGACTTGATGTCCCTGTGGATCACAACCTGCTCCCATTCCTCGTGCAGGTAAAGCAACCCCGCGGCAATCCCTTTCAAAACCCTAAACCTCTGCTCCCAGCTCAAACATCGCTGCCCGCCGCCGCCGTAGAGGAAGAAATCCAGGCTCCCGTTCAGAATGTAATCGTAGACGAGAAGGAGATCGCTCCTCTGCTTACACCAACCTTGAAGGTTCACCAAGTTCTTGTGCCGCAATCTCCCCAGACTCTCGATCTCCGGTTCGGTGACCGTCGGGGGAAGAACGATTGGGAAAGGGATGAGGGTTGTGTGGTCCGAGTGACGAGAGAGAGGATAAGGGAAAATTTCAAATATTATTTTTTATTATTTTTTGTTTAAATTGTAAATAATAAGTTTAGGGCAAAAGTTTGAATTCTGATTTCTTAATGATTAATAGGCTGACAAGGCGTGACATGGCAATGACATGGACAATTGACTAACGGTCAACGGTGTTGACCGTCCAAATAGACGGTCAAACCACGCTCCAGGCCAATTTTGTCTATATGCTGCATAGTTCGAGCCAGGATGTTAATTTCTCAAACCACTGGCCAAAGTTGATTACATGGTCATAGTTCAAGCCATAACAAGGTATTAACCCTTTTCTTTATTAGACATTCCTTTTAGCTTTATATAATTAATTAATTGCAACAATGTAATGAACTTATTGACTATTTCAACATTTTTTGTTGTCGACAGTATCGTTCTACCAACCCTATACAAAAGAAGCTTTTTTCGAGAGAAACGGCTAAGTCTCCTGTGACATCGAGCACAAATGTCATTGTTATTGATGACGATGATGATGATTTGTTGGGAGGAACGGTTAAGTCTCCTGTGACACCGAGTTCTGATGTCATTGTTATTGACGATGATGATGACGAGCCTTATTTTGAAAGAAAAAAGAGAATTAAATCTTTCAGGACCTCTACCAAGGAAAAGGTATTTTTTTTACTAGAATAGTTTTTTATACTATTAATAAGTATAGAAACTCTCTAATATTTTAGTTTTGCATGGCAGTTTGTGATGCAATTTCCTATCACCAAGTACATGAAGTTAACTTTAGAAGAGGTTAATCTGGCATACTATATCTTTGCAAAAGATCTTGATGGTCGGAATATATTGGTAAAAAATGGTTCCCATTTTTGTACTCGTCTGTCGCTGTGGAGCTTGTTGCCTAACAAATGGGTACAAGATGATGTAAGTGTTGGTTTTATTTACAAAATTAGTTCACGTTTCATTTATAAATAGTCACATTGTTTGTTGTTGTGTTGAAGGTTATAACAAGTTGTGCATATTATCTCAACCTATCTGAGATGTATGAAGAACGACGTGGAACCCCGTCTCGGTTGTGCTTCCTCCCTACACAAATGCAGGTAATGAAAATATGGAACACTAACACTCACATTTTTGTGCATATTAAAAACATGCACTAATCTTTGTTTCAATATGATCCAATAGGTGGGAGTGGAGAAGTATGGTTATAGTCCTGAAAAGTTATTAAATAATTATCGTTCTAGCTTCTTGCGTAATGCCTATGGATCCAAGAAGGTAGACATTTAACCTCATACCTATTTTTTTTTTGTATATTTTGTTTAAGGATGATGATCTTCATGTTGATATTTGGCAGGTCTATCTACCATTGAAGGATGGCACTCATTGGTATTTGGCAGTGGTATTGACAGAATCAAAACAAGTACATCTGGTTGACTCAGCACCTATGACAGACCGCAATGGAAATCGTATGAAAGTTGTAGGACGCATGGTAAGTACACTGTTGAACATTTGCCATGAGTTTGTTTCGTAATCAAACTTATTTTAGTTAAGTACAATTCATTATTTATGCAGATGGCTTTTTTACATGATTTATTTGAAAAACTATACTCTGAGCTAGAGAAGATGAATGAAGCGCCAAACATCCGCAATTTTCAATTGATCATTCCTGATAAGGTTCCTATACAAGAAAACGGGTAAATGATATGGATATTGTCTAAGATTATTTTAAAGCATTTGATTATTAATAAACTTACATAATAGCCATTTGTATTAGATTTGATTGTGGCATGTGGGTTTGCTTATGGATGATGTACTCAGATGCCATGAATGGATACTGTGTTGGGGTAAGGAAGCATACACTTAATTTTTATTAGTTCAATCACAATAGTATCTCTTGTATTTTTCCTTGTATTAACAAAAAAAATTTACACAGCCATGTAACGAGGTGGACCGAATGATGTTGGCACTAAAGTTGGTGGGCTGGCACAAAATTCGAAGTTGGAGAAAATCCATCGTCATGCTCTTGAACACTCATCTATGTGTAATGACATGATCCGGAAAGACATGGTACTCATGCATGGAGATGCCAGAATTTGAAGTTGAAACTTTTTGTCACCAGTTTGAAGTTGGAAAGCAGATTGGATCGCTGTTAGGATTATTTGAGTCAAGTTGAATTATTTGCATTTAAACTGGTTTGTTTGAATTATTCGAGTCAAGTTTGGATTATTTTAGGTTAAACTGGATTGTTTGAGTTATTGATTTGAGAACAAGAGGTTTATTTGCTTAGCATCATATCACAGATTGATTTTTTGGCGGACAAATATTAATAGAGGCTGTAACAGTACATGGCCGAATTAGGATTGATTTCTAGGTAATGGATCAAATCAATGAAAAGAGAGTTCTTCATCAAAACCATTGTTTTCTGGAGCCAAAACATGAGTATAAATTCCCTTGAAAAATTAAAATATATGTGCTATGTTCATCTGAATAACTGTGACAAAATCTGGAAGAGACAGAATTTGGATCAGAAACTAACTCTGTATGACAGTACCTGCAAAAGTCATTCATTGACAAAGATAACTGAACTCATATTCCTTTAGCAAAAAGAAACCAGCAAAAGTCATTCATTGACAGCCCTAAACCATCTATAATCATCCATGACAGAACTAACAAAAGTCATTCATTGACAGCCCTAAACCATCTATAATCATCCATGATAGAACCAACAAAAGTCATTCATTGACAGCCCTAAACCATCTATAATCATCCATGACAGAACCTGCAAAAGTCATTCATTGACAGCCCTAAACCATCTATAGTCATCCATGAACACGATTCATGCTCATGCTGAGTTTTGAATTCCATTCATCTCCTCGGATTTTCTTTTCAGCAAAAACAGAGAAGACTAGAGGAACAAGTTACAAACCTTGTTACTGCTCGGTAACAGAATGTTTCCATCTCATAGCACTAACGAATATCTCATTCCAAGAAGGTATCTCATTCCATCGCCTTGAAGCCAGTCGAGCGACTCGCCATGTAGGCCAACCTGGTAGGACGACAGGTCTATATCGCCTTTGTTCAAGCCGTGTAACATAACGGGGCCTTCAACTCCAGTGTTCCACGTCTTGAATCGAGGTCCAACATTCTGAAAAAATCATCTGGAAAATGATGACACGTCATAGTGGTGTGAGTAGTATGTAAGTTGTGCTGATTCTGTTTATCCATGAAGAGGATGGAAATTTTGAAATATACCGGTAAGCCAACAGCTACATTGAGCAGTGCAATTCTGTTTGTTTTATGGTGTACGTTGATTGGTCCTGTGAAGGCCAACTTTCTGTTTTCCTCAACAGAATTGATATCTTCCTCGTAAGTCTCCCACGACATCAATCTAGTACCTGTTGGCAACATCTGCACATTTGCTGTCTTAACTCCAACCTGCACAATAATAGCTATATGAGCTGATTGGCTTTCTCACAGAATCTAAACTGCAAAGAATTCAGTAGCCGTCTCAGAGGAAGCAAATAAGCAAGGTTCGAACTCTAAAAAGGGAATAAAGGCAAACTAAATCTAAACTGGATCTGGAAACTAATGAAATCGTATGAGTTTCCAACTCCTCCTCTGTCAAATTTGATCCATGATTTCCAAGCTGGAATTCACCATAAAATTGACTGACAAGTCAGCCTCTAGTTTCAAAACACACCTTCACAATTTCTAGTCTGATTTTTAGATTAGATAAATATTATAGCAAGATGACAAGTTTTTAGCCACAGGAACACCCTAGAATTAATCCAATTGGAAAAAGACACTTGCTAGATGTTGACAAGATGACAAGTCAGCCTTGATGACAAGTTTTTAGCCACAGGAACACTTGATAAATATTATAGCAAGATGACAAGTCAGCCTCTAGTTTTTTGCTAGATGTTGACTATTGCATGTAGGCTAGTCTATCTAAATAGACACTTGCTCACCTGTTCGTGGAGAATATGGAATGCTTGCTTTACTGGTAGTTTAACATCCAATGCAATAACCTAGGTTTGAACTCTAAAAAGGGAATAAAGGCAAACTAAATCTAAACTGGATCTGGAAACTAATGAGAGAGCTTTTCTAAAACTTTCCGCAAATAAACTGTAAGTCTTTTTGGTATTCTGCGCCCACAACCTAAGCATCTTAATTACCCTTTAAATATCTTCCAGCGGGAGTTCTGTCAACAATTCCCCCCAGCCTTTTAAGCAGCTGCCTCCTGTCAAAGAGACTCAGCCCAGGCGCCCACATGGCAGAGGGTGGAAATCAGCATGCGGCAGGCGATGGTCTGACTAGCGAAAGAGAAGAAAAACAAAACCAGTCAGCCGAAGAAGAAGGTATTGTCGAGGAGAATGGAGATAAAAATGCAGAATCTGATATTGAACCTGACAATGAAATCATCGAAGATGAAGAGACTGAAGATCTGAAAAATCTTACGGTCGAGGAGGTTATTGGTCGAAAGTTCAACAGTACTGAGGAGGCTTACAATTTCTACAATAAGTATGCAAGAGCTTGGGGTTTTTCGGTGAGACGTGAGAAGAAGACTGAAACAAAAAAGGGGGAAACAACTTCTCGACTTTTTGTCTGTTCTTGTGCGGGGACAAAACGCAAAAGTAAAGACGACCTACAACGACCTTCACGATTAAATACAAGATTTCAGTGTAAAGCTAGGCTGCGTGTTCAGCTGGACAAGTCAGATTCAAAGTACATTGTTGACACTTTCTACATCGAACATACCCATAATCCGATTCGTCAAAAGTTGGTGCATCATATGAGATCACATCGAGGCTTAGATGAAGCGACTAAAGCTAAAGTTAGATACCAACGTGATGCAGGTATGAAAACCACTGACATCATGAATCAGCATGTGCACCAAGCTGGAGGCTATGACAAAGTGGGACACACCAAAAAAGATTTACATAATTTTGCCTCTAAAGATCGTGGGGAAAGGATCAGCGAGGGAGATGCTGCCACAGCACTCGCATACCTGAAGTCTAAAATCAGCGGAGACAACCACTTCATTTTGGAACCTACTTTTGATGAAGATAAGCGACTTCATAGCATATTTTGGGCAGACAGCATGAGCGTAGCAGATATGGCGTGCTTTGGAGATTTGTTAGCATTTGACAGCACGTACAAGAAGAATGTTTATAACATGCCTCTAGTTGTTTTCTCAGGTGCACATTTCTACCTTATCGTTACTATATTCATTGATGCAAATTATCGTTCTGCTCTATTTTTGGTACATCTGTTGTACTTAATTTGCTGTCTATTAAAATATGCAATTGGATTCTATGTTTTTAATGTACAAGCAAAACTAAGTCTTTTGGTGCTGTAGTAAAGTATGGCAGTGCAAAATTTCAATAGCTTTCGCTAAAAACACTTAGCTTTTGTTCAAGTTTTGTAATAGTTTGCTCGCTAATTTGTTTCCCTAGTCCGACCAATCTGTTTGCTCACTGACCAATCTGTTTGCTCACTAATAATTCAGCAACTTCCCAATTTTGGTATTCAGCTTACATACATTGGTTGTTGCACTATGTATCAATCACCACAAAAAGAGTTGTATATTTGGATGTGCTCTGCTAGCTAACGAGACTGAGGAAAGTTATGACTGGGTGCTAGGGGTATTGAAGGAAGCAATGGGGGACAAAGAACCTCGTACAGTTGTAACAGATGGCGACAAAGCAATGCGCAATGCCATTCAGAAAGTCTTTCCAGACGCAACTCATCGTTTGTGTTCATGGCATATTGCCAAGAATATTGTGAGTCGTTTCAAAAACCACAAAGAGTTCGAACCTGAATGGCAGAAGTTTGTATATGCTGATTATGAGTATGATGAATTTGAAGAAAAATGGGCAGCAATGGTGGAAAAGTTATCGCTGCATAATTCTAAATGGGTATCGGATTTATTTGGAAGGTGAGGGGAATGGGCTTACACGTACCTACGGACTTACTTCTTTGCAGGATTGTCAACAACGTCAGTTTGTGAAGGACTTAACTCACATCTTGCAAGGTTTGTAACTGAGGACCACAATCTACTTGAGTTTTTTATCCATTTTGATCGTTGGATAAAAGAACTAAGGGAAACTGAGGTGAAATTAGATTTTCAATCCAGCTTTGGTTTACCCGAGATAAAACATACAGCCTTGAGGACTCTTGAAGAGAGTGCTGCTAGGGAATTCACCAATAAGATATTTCGAAAATTTCGAAAAGAGCTAGGCAAAGTTGAGGGTATCAGGAAGAGAAATGTTGAGATATATGGAGTGTGGCACAATTACCAGGTGACGTTGTTTGGCACAGAAAAGATGTTCAATGTCAGTTTTGATGTTGAAACCAAGAAGATGAAGTGCAGTTGTGCTAAATTTGACTACATGGGAATTCCATGTTGCCATATGCTCTCTGTGCTAAAGGAAGAGAACATACCGACAGTGCCAGAAACTTTGGTATTAAAAAGATGGACAAAGAATCAAAAGACACTAGACGACATGCAACAGAGTATCGATGATCCTAGTCTATTCAGTGTTAGGTACGGGATGTTGCAGTACAGCAACTTTCGCTTTTGCTTTCTAGGGGCAAATTCATCCGAAACTTATAGGTTTGCACAAAAAGCAATGGATAATTTGTGTGACCAGTTAGCGACGATGCAACAAAATCCTATTGAGGGAGGCACGATCCCTATACCAGAGGAATATAAAGGAGTATTAGACCCATTGAAGGTGCCATATAAAGGTGGTAAAACTGGAAAAGGAAAGTCTTCTGGTAAATAGAAACGAAAGTGCGGTAAGTACGGACGAGATGGCCATTACCAAAGCACTTGTACTAATTCTCCCAGCAACTCACATGATGATGAGCCAACTAACCAACCGGTAAAGGTAAATTTTATGGACAAATCTTGTGTATTTAATTAGTTAGTAACCATTTATTCTTCTATAAGTATGACACTAAAACCTAACTTTTTGTTAACGTAGAAGAAGCCAAAAAATAGTGCTACCAAGCAGGCTGAAAGTCAGCCCGATAACAACAATCCTGGCCAAAGAAAGGAAGCAGAAGATGTTGATGGTTTGGACGACGAACCTCAAAGGGTAAATTTTGTGATGCGCTTACGAAACAGATTTCATTCATCCTTGATTTTGGTTGTTACAACATTTCCATTTTATGTTACAGAAGATTCCGACCACAAGAAGTGCTACTAAGAGAAAACAAAGCAGCACCAACAAGTGATTTGGAAAAGTGCATCAACTAGAGATTTCGAAGGATATGGTTCATTTAAGTTTATGCGTTTCTTTTAGTTAAGTTTGATTGTCGCAAAATTATTTGATCACTTTACGTTATGGATGGTTTAAATTCTATTTAAAGTAGTAGGAATCTCACCTTAGCCACTGTATAAACGCCAAACAGACTAGTGTCCTTGTAGATATTCTTCTTCCGGTTGATGATTTTCATGCTTCCGTCGGGTTGCCATTCCCCAACATCGCCTGTTTGTACAATAGTTGAGATTGAAATTTGTTAGAAACTTTAGGACATTGTTACAGAATCTTGAAACAGAGGGGAAAAGTTCACGGACCAGTGTGGAACCATCCACCAATCAAGACTTCCTCAGTGAGATCATCACGTTTGTAGTAGCCGGAGAACAGGGTGTCGCCGCGGATGCAGAATTCACCACGAGGAGTGCTGGAGAGAGCATCGTAGTTCATTTCCGGAACCGATTCAAGGCGGACATCAACATTTGGCACTGGAGGACCTACAGTGCGGAGCATCGATATGTCATTTGGCAATGACACGAAACTTCCAGCACAGCTCTCCGTGAGACCTGCATACATTCATGTCGTAAGAAAATGAGATTCTTGAGTCGCGAAAGGTATGTAGAACGCAAAGAGTAGAAGGGGGTTGCTAATAGTTTACCGTATCCTTGTAGAACATGGGCACATGTGACGACTTGAAGGTAAGCTTCAACATGGCTGGCCAGTGGTGCTGCTCCAGATAGGATTAGCCGTACATTTCCTCCCAACCCTTGCTTTACATGTGAGGAAGAGCCACCAGAGTTAAACACCATAACAGTATTTCGCAATTTGACAACATAATTAGACTGACTTAATATTTAAGACCAAGCATCATGATTACCTTGCTGAAGACGAGCTTGTCACTGAGTGGAGATGCCTCGTCTGTCTTACTCCTGCCTTTCAAATTACTCAGTTTGCTGAAGCGAGAGTGAGATCACCAGTTAGTCAAGAAACAGGAACCAGAATCGCAGGCAAGAATTATGAAATATCCCGTTTTTTTCAAGAAGTAAACAACACTTACTGGGAGTACGCAAAATTGAACAGCGTCTTCTTCAAGAAGCCCCCAGCAGATCTCTTCTGAGTTAAGCCTTGAAAAATGAGAAAACAAGATACTGTGAATTTGGAGACAAGCAAGATTGTCTAACTATAAGAATACCCCAAATAATCAAAGTAGTGGATTCCGATCATTTCATGGCAACCAAGAGCATAAATAAATTAGAAAATTAGAAGGCCGCCTTAAGAATTCTGCATGAGTTCAGAGCATTATCTGCAAGCTCATCTGCTAATGATCAAATGCTAAAAAGAGAATATTTACCTTTTCATCCACACATTCTAGCACTCGTTTGACCCCAGCTATAAGAGTAATGATGTTGAGATTAGAGATCATAACTCTTCCCAGCTTGTCAAATTCTTCCCAAGAATAGACTGACAAGCCATTCTTTTCAATCTCCTCCCTCTGCTCAGAAGTTACCTTACCAAAGCTTACAATTGCTGCAAAATGAGATATGTTCGATGAGCATTTCAGTAGCACATAACAATAGATCAGTACTCTGTCAAACTTTACTTACTTTTCAAATGTTGTGTCGCATTAGGAAACGTTTTCAATAGCTGAAAGACAGAAGCACAAAAATATGTCAACAGAGATGTTGGAGGCCCAAAGTAAAGCTCAGTTCAATTTCTAAAGAAAATGAGTTTAGCATTAACCATAATCACAGCATCAAGGGCACTATATATACATGTCTCTCCCACAAACAATATGAGTGGCACACTGTGGCTTCCAAACCATCAGTTCCAACTTCTTGTGCTGGCTGCATTTTCGAAGTTTCTTTCTTGGAGAGTTGAGCTCGAAGCTCCCTAATTTTCCGCTTCTTCGAATTCAGAACTGCAAGGAACTGGACCAGAAATGAGGGAATTAGTTATACTATGAAATGCTAATGTGATGGATATTGAACAACTCAATCGCTACAAAAGATCAGTGGACATGCTTCTTTTCCTAAGTTTTGGTCTCTGTCAAACCTCATTTAACCAACACCACAGTAATTATAATAACAACCTAGAACCAACAGAATCAAACACCAAAATCCATTATTCCATTACGGGCAAAACATGCGTAATTTATTCTCAAGTGTGTGCCTCAACTCTAATGGGAGAAAGTTGGTCAATCACTACTACCATTCTGTATGCTTCCCTATGCTTCTTTCAAGCCAAAATCAGGCCACCAGCGACATTGCAGTAACTGAATTATTCACTAGGTACTAACTAACAAGAAGAGTCAGGAGCAACTAAGCTCACCATTTCAAAGACCTATGGCAGCCCCAAAGCTAGATAGAACGAAAGCAAACCCTTCATACAATCCCTTCAATCTTCCTAACTTATAATGAAGTTTGATTCACATAATGGGTAAATCGAATCCAAAAGCAAACCAAATTGAACACAGTTCCAAACGGGACAAAAATTATAGAAAAAGCGAATCACTAACTCGTTTGCAGCCATCGCCGACATCGTCGAACCTCTAGATCGAGCCAGGGATTTGAAACCCCAGGTGCTTCTCCGCCAATTGGATATACTCGGATACTGGCTGACCCACTGCGCCGCTCTATCTCTCGCATCCTCTTCCCTAGCTGCAAAATTTGAAGCAAGAATTAGGATGATAAAAGAAACCCCGTATAAACGGAGAGATTCAAACACGAGGGTCGATATCAGTCGAACAAGAAAAGTAAGGGGAGATATAGGTTTACCGTGGCAGACCCAAGAGTGGAGGCCGTCGGTGATGGAGAGGTCGAAGACTGGTTCGCTCGCACGGGGTGTAAATCTCGAGCTTCATGCATGTGTGCCTCGTCCCCGCCGCCGCAGTATCCATTCTTCTCCACCGTCACCATCTTCTTCTCCGCCGTCGCCGTCTTCTTCTTCGCCGTCGATGGAGATTAGCAGAGCAGTCAAGAGGGTTTTGAGAGACCAGGGTAAGGGATAAGATTTTTTTTTTTTTTTTGGAAATGATCAGATCTTTCATTTCCCTCTTTGAGAAAAGGGCCGGTCGAAAATGTGGAGGGAACTTTTTAGTTCTCAAATTTTGATTGGGCAAAAAATTGGAGGGATTTTTCCCTCTTAAAATTTTAGTTGGATAATTAATTGTTTCAGGTCATTAACAAAGGAAAGATTCATCATTTTTTTTTTGTTATTCTTCTTCATAATTAAATATGGTAAGTTTTTTTTTCTGGATCCTTTATATTATTTTTAGCATGAAAATAGGTTTCATGCCTACATGTTGTGATTAGAAAACTCTTTTCTTGTAGTGTGTATATCACATTCTAGTATGAAGAAGAACCCTAAATCCTAAACCCTAAACCCTAAACCTACTCATTCCACATGCTCTTGCTCGTTCTAATTTCGTTCCATGAATCATTGTTGAATGGGGATAATAGTGGAGTCAAATGACCGAGTCACTTTACAATATAAACTATGTAACCAAAGCAATCCACAAGACATTACTAAGTTAGTTGGCGAGCTATATATGAAGTCACTCATGAACTACTACCCTAGTTGGCTCGAGGTTCACACCTTCGAGTCGTCGTATGATGCAAACTCAAATGTCAATCTTTCTTAACAACATTAAATGGGTTTGGCCAACCTTTCAACTTTAGTTCCAATTGTTCTTTAACTATGCTCGTTAAACATTAAAAGAAACGATTATATAACAATTATTGTGATAAGATCGGGAGCTTGAAAAGTCTTGTTTTAAACATTAAAAACATTCGAAGTAAAAGGATCGGGAGCCTGAAAATCTTGTTTTAAAAATATCACCACAATATGTATTGTAAGGAAAACATAGTATTTTAAGTCATACAATTAGTTCGGCAATAATGTGTGTGGACAATTGGATGTAATGTCGAGTATCAAAGCAACGTTCAATGATATCGCCACTCATTTAAGTTTTTAGTTTTATGTGGGGTAGAAAAGGTTCTCAATGGTATTCTGGTTTTGTTTTAGCTCTAAAACTCAAGATTCTTAATTCGAAACAACAAATCGGCAAAGAAGGCTACATCGGTTGTGATTTGTTGTGTGACAAGTGAGTATAATGAAGAGAACATGATCCTTAACATATTTTTGGTCTCGAAGATTATTAAAAGTGAGTCGTGAAGCCCATTACAAGTACCTGAACCCAACTCACTATCTTCTTCCTTGCCAGTCGCCACTATCGTATGCTTCTTCTTACCCACACAGTAAAACCCAAAACCTAGCACGACCTAAAATACATAGTCAAGGACCACCTTTCAAGACAGGGTGAAGCAAGGATTCCATGTTCGGAGGGGCCGTAAAATGTCAAACAAAATAATAAAATATTAAATATGATTTGCTACATGCAAAGTACCCAATGCTATTTGGAATCAATCAAGTCACTCAAAATAGCGTTTAACCAAAACGTGTTCACTAATATCTCATTCATTATAAATAACAAGACTACTAACGATAGAGCCATCACTCTTTTTTTTTTGTAGGTTAGTCACTCACTTTATGGCAGAAAAAAACTCATTCAATACCAGCCGTAACGACTATAAGAGTCTGAACCAGATGAATCATATAATCAACGAATCAAAGTCACTTGACTTCCCAGAGCATTCCAAACCACGATACAGTGGAAGAAAGCTCGGAAGTTGGGAGTTGGTTCTTCTTTCTGTCATCCCCGACATTGATTCTGCGTCCTCTATTTGGTAAGCTAACGTTTTGGATGTTTTAAGTTAAATCTCTAAAACCATGCTTTTAGTGAAATAGATGCACAATATGATAAATTCACTAAATTATGATGTTTAAAAGCATCAACACAAAAGATATTCAACGGAATTGTCAATCTATAAATTTACTTTCTAAAAAAAACGAGAGAGTAATAATTTTTTTTTACAACAAAGGGTAATACTTTCTTGAAAAATTACGTATAATATTAATGTCGACGCCATATTAACATTTAACAAAAAGAAACCTGAAACTAATAAAACAAAATTCCCACACTAATCCCTAGTAATCAGTTCACAAGTCAATAATTGGGCACAAAAGAAAATAAAGAAAACTTAAAAGCAAAAACAAAAATTAACTCTCAAATAGATCACACTATTATTTTAGCCATGTAAAAAAAATTATTGTGCGGTTACCTGTATTCGAACCCAGACCTCCGGATTGCAAGCCACAATCAACACCAATGCGCCATTAGCTCTTTCGTGTTTCATTCGTTCCAATGACTAATATTATACGCTTTATTTCGTTCATAAAATTCAGGGCGCTCATCGTCGCTGCACTTTCTTTGCCCCTGTTCCCAGAACCCAGAGATCGACTATTCTTTCCCAAACCCAGAAATCGAACGACCAGGCATCGCCATAAACTCTCCTTCCTACAGTTTCATCGTCCAATTCAATCGGGGGGTGGGGGGGAAGAGGCCAGCAGCGATTAGAGAGGATGTCGATTCGGAGATATGCAGGGGAAGAATCGCACCAGGCAGGAAAGAGAACGAGTGGAAGAGGGAAGCTGGGTTCTTGCTACCAGTCGATTCGTCGTCCGATCCCCGACACCGCTGGGTTCTTGCTACCAGTCGACGACCTTCGATCGCATCCGACGCGGAGTGTCGACTACGGCGGCGGCGGCCAGAATTAAGAACGCGCTGCTCTTGAGCGGAGCTGGAGTCACCGCCGGAAGCTTCTTCTATCGCTCCCCAAAAATCAACCGGCGTTATTCTTCCTTGTCACCATCGGCC